TTAATAAAAAAAAAACTAGGGGCGCCTGGGTGGCGCAGTCGGTTAAGCATCCGACTTCAGCCAGGTCACGATCTCGCGGTCCGTGAGTTCGAGCCCCGCGTTGGGCTCTGGGCTGATGGCTCAGAGCCTGGAGCCTGTTTCCAATTCTGTGTCTCCCTCTCTCTCTGCCCCTCGCCTGTTCATGCTCTGTCTCTCTCTGTCCCAAAAATAAATAAACGTTGAAAAAAAAAATTAAAAAAAAAAATAATAAATAAATAAATAAAAACCTAAACCCAGAGTAACTAAAAAATATTTACTCTGTTCAGATAATCACAACTGTTTTCTATAAGGAATAAGAGCTTAAACAAGGTATGAACCATAATTCCTCTTAATACACTGGTTCCATTCTAAAAGAGTCTTAATTTCCTTGGAGAAAGGAGCTGGCTTATATTTCCTTCTAATAGATGCTATATATGGGACAGATATGATGGCATCTCAAACACCATCTTTCTTAATCTTAAATCTTCCCTATCGAATCCAAAAATGCAAACTGCCAAGAGGCTCCCACTGACCAATTGAAGTGTGTCAGTAAAACATGTAACTGATCTCCAACAGTGAAAGCAAGGAGTATCTGTGATTACTGCCCATCAGTTTTAATAATTTTTCTTTCCCATAAATAGATCTTCTTCAGTAACAATAAACTAAGCTCAATTCAAAAACACAAAAGATATGGGGCGCCTGGGTGGCTCAGCTGGTTAAGCATCTGACTTTGGCTCGGGTCATGATCTCACGGTTTGTTAGTTCAAACCCTGTGTCAGGCTCTGTGCTGACAGCTCAGAACCTGGACCCTGTTTCGGATTCTGTGTCTCCCTCTCTCTCTGCCCCTCCCCCATCTGTGCTCTCTCTGTCAAGAATAAATGTAAAAAAAAAAAAAACAAAAAAAAAATTAAAAAAACCCACAAAAGATATAATGTACATGAAAAGTCCATAATTTTAGAATCCACACCAACCAAAATAACAAAACCAGAAACAAACCAAACCATCTTTTCTGGTTCTTTTCTTTGACCGTGGGCAGGGTCAGAGATGCATTTGGAATTATTAATTTGGGGGATAGAGGGAAAGGTCTTAATCCAAAGAAATCTTGAAAAATTACCTGGTAGGGAATGTAGAATCATAAGCAAAGCTGAGCAGCTCCTGAGGATAGCCAATAGAAACTAATCTCTCCACAGTAAGCTCAAAGCCAAGAGACTCATACTCTGGGGACTTGTACACTGCACAGAGAGGAGGTTCTCGTTATAATAATAGTCAATGAAAATAAAAGGCAAATGAGTGAATTTCTACTTTTTCCCAACTCCCTCCTCCTCCTAAATAGGCCATTTTCTTCTTTTCCCTCAAACTCCATGTTCTGTACTGTCCCAAGTAATCACAGAACTCCATTGTTAGTCTGTGGAAATAGGTCATATTTTTGTAGGAGCAAGAGCGACAAGATGAATTATCAAACATTTCAGAATAATTCTTTCATTCTTAGGAAACTTTTTTTCCTTTATCTGTTCTTTCATGCCCATAATCTAAAGACAGTTTTAAAAGAAACTAATATGCACAACAGCTGTGATATAAACCATGAGAATGTACGTAAATAGAAAACCAGGTAGAGAGGTCTATATATGTTGAAGGGTTCGCTGATATGTATAGTTCGTGTAGGAATCCTTCAAAATGAGCTTTTTTTAAAAAAAAATTATTTTTTACAATTACTATTTGGCTTGGTAGTTGCTTTATATGCTTTCTCCGATCAGCATAATTCTATTTGTCAGGATTAACTTGCTTTCTTAACAGCCCTAAAAATATTATAAAGCCATCAAAATTGCATTTTACAGGGGTGCCTGGGTGGCTCAGTCAGTTGGGCATCCGACTTCGGCTCAGGTCATGATCTCGCAGTTCATGAGTTTGAGCCCCATGTCAGGCTCTGTACTGACAGCTCAGAGCCTGGAGCCTGCTTCAGATTCTGTGTCTCCCTCTCTCTCTGCACCTCCCCTGCTCATACACTCTCTCTCTCTCAAAAATAAACATTAAAAAAAATTTTTAATTGCATTTTACAACTTATTGCTGCAATATCAACCATAAAAAGACATGTCTGAGACAATTACGGAAATCTGAATGTGGACTGGAAATCAGATATTAAAGAATTATGACTAGGGATCAGGGGGGAGAATTGGAGGAAAGTGGTCAAAAGGTACAAACTTCCATTTATATGATAAATAAGTAGTAGAGATATAATGGACAACATTGAGGACTTCAGCTAATACCACTGTATGATATATAAGAAATCTGTTAAGAGAGCAAATCCTAAGAGTTCTCACCACAAGGAGAAACACATTTTTTTCTTTATTCTTTCTTTTCTTTTTATTCTATCTATATGAGAAGATGAGTATTAGCTGAACCTATTTTGGTAATCATTTCACAATATATATAAATCAAACCACTGTGCTGTATGCCTTAAGTTTGTACAGTGATGTATGTCTATTTCTCAGTAAGACTGGAAATATACACTAAAAAAAGAATTAGGACTCATTTTATGAAATTTATGGAAGGATGGGTATGTGCAAGTATATGTATAGGATATATATCCTTATCTGCCAAAGAAGCCTACTGAGTTTGTTACAGGCGAAATAAGATGGATTTCAGAATATGGGAGTTTCTCCCTACTATTACCTATCTCTGAAATCTTATCCTATAATGAAAAAACTTTTTAGAATCATCAATGCAGTTCAGTATAAAGAAAACATTGCCCCTTTAAATAGGTTTCCTCCAAATGCAATATTTAGGTAAGGATCCTCCCACCAGTCTCTAGGAGAGGGTAAGCTATATTAAAGACAAAAATTAATAGACCTGCAATCTTGCTAAATGCCAAATGAGGCAAAAAATCCATTTTTATCTCATAATAATGCTATTATTATTATTATTATTATTATTATTATTATACCCACAATTAATACACAGCCTATGGCTCAAACTGATTTTTCATTGCAATTAGTCTACCGATCCAAATTAGTGCTAATATCTTAATGAGTAGTATTCAACTTTTCCTTGCCAAAATCAATCTTTTAGAATATTTCTGGAACTACATAAAAGAAATCAGTAATACTTGTCACTTCCACAGAAGGGAACTGAGTGGCTAAGAGATGGGGAAGAAAGTATACTTTCATGTATGTACCTTTCTGTACTTTTTAAAAACTTGTAAATATTAATGTGTATACCTATTATTTTTAAATTAAGTTGAAATATAAAAAAAAAGCAGGTGAGCTTTCAAACTCCTTTAATAAGCATTTGTCATATTTAAAAAGCCTAAATGTTTTAAGGCCCTTAGGAGAAGGAGGCCCTTGAGTCTTATCAGAACAATGCCAAAAGAAGCTGTCATTTCTTCTGTTGTTTCAGGGGTAAAAATAATGCTAATACTAATATTCTCAAGACTGGCTATGTACTTTTCTCTGTTCAACTCCAGCCCCATCATCACCTTCCCCCACCAAAAAAACCAAAAAAGCAAACAAAACAAACAAACAAAAAAACCCCACAAAACAAAAACAAAAACCCAAAAAACAAAAACCAAACCCTTTTGGAATCCTTGAGGGTGGAATTCTTAAATCTAGATGATGTACACTGTGGTAAAAGAAGTGCTTATATATTCATACACACTAAAAGGGTAAGAGCTGGTGTGCTATAATAAAACCAGAAAAGAAGTATTGACTGATGTCAATTTGAATTATTTTGAGAATATAATATCTCTCACCCAACACCGTGCTTCCACCCCAACTGAGAGTAAATCTCATTTTAACAAAATTTCCATAAAACAAAAACTGTTTCTCAATCCTAACAAAGTCCTACTTATTTCAAACAATATTTAATGAAACAAAATTCCAGTATAGCTAAGTAATGTGGATAATCCACTGACATTCATTCTTCTAGGATTTGGCCCATATAAAATATTTTCAATTATTAATTTTTTCAGAAGGATAATTTGCTAGCTATGCCATAAGAATGGGAGGGGGGAAACCTTAATCACCTCCACTCATGCATGCTCAGCCCTAAATGAGACATTTTCCCTAGTTAGACATCAGGTAATTATAGAGGGAGGGAGTAATGGTGATTAAAACCCGTGTTTAGGAGACACTTTGGATCAAAACCCAAATCCATTTTTTCAGAACATTTAGTGAAGGAAAAAAGACCCGGGGATGGGTGAGGAGTGGAGGGAGGAGGGAGATATTTCAAATCCCCATTTTGTCAGCACAAACCCTAGAACAGCAGATAATAAAACACTACACACTTGCCACACTTATGTTTATTCCAGGGCAGAACCTCCCAAGTGTTCAACTGAGGTAACTTTCTAGTAATTCCACCTACAGAAACAAATACTTTAAATTCCCTTTTACTCAATGAGTTTAGGGTACTTTCCAAAAATACAATGTATTTTCCCCATTTGCTGACCAGAAGTTACATACATAGCAAGCACAAATATAAGCTTAAGGCAGAACTTAAGTCTCCCTCACTCTCATCCAAAGCTCTTTGTGGCGAGGTATTATACCACTGTTAAACATGAATTTCTAGATTACATAGGCCATCAAAACTTAAGCCTAGGTGTTGAAATACACTGTCCTCCCTCCAATTTCTTTCACCTAGTCCAAAACAAACTGCTCTAATCACAGGTGGGAATGGATTTAGCAAAGAGAGTTCAAGTTCCACTTTGACAACACTATCTATTTCACTGAGCTCTATATTAATCAGGAAGACCTACAAGCTATTGACATTTTCTCATAAGCTTCCCGGATAATCATTTCAGTAACATAAATTCCCAGGTCATTAAATCATCTGCTAGAGCACTATACAGTACAACCAGGGTTGGAAAAGCAGACTGTAGCTGCACAGAGCAGAAGGTTAGATGTTTTGTTCTAAGTGTCCCTTGGGAATTAATCACAATTTGTTCTGACCTGGTAGCAAAAATGACTAGTCCTAAAGCCTGCAAAGTATCACCATTCCTTGAAAAATAAATAAACAGAAGCAAAACTCCCTTTTTTAATGACCATGCCCTTTAAAGTCAGCCTTGATATATGTGGGGAACCATATATATGGCCTCACACTGTGCAGCTCTATGCCTCTCCACAGCTGCAAACGCTCTAACTTCAATTTCTCTCCCCAAACTGGTGAGTAAGTGATGCATAGCTTCAAACTCAATTCTTACGACTTTCAAAACGCAGCCAACAGATTCAGAGTAAACATAACCTCACACATTCACTGCTTATTTCTTCTTCGAGAAAGTCCTCAGGCCTATCCTAATTTACCCAATGTTCAAAGACAAAGAAGAAGTTCTTTCAAGGGCCAGAGTCCAAAAAAGAGGACTGCCTGAGCCACTAGGGCAGCACACGGTGTTCTCAGGTTACGTAACTAGACTATAAAGAGAACAACCAAAGCTTTGAAAGCTGAAGCTACTGAGTGCATTTAAAGATATTCTTTACTCCATAGTCTGTAAGGAAAAAAACAGTTCTCCAAAAAATATCAACTGTATGTTGTGGGGATCAAAGTTATGGGCTCTGTTTTGAGGAAATGTTGTTCATACAAGATAGACCCTATGTTAGAGGAGACCATTTCTTTGAAATGAGCCAAAATCTTTCTGCAAGGAAGTCTAAAATTCTCATGCACTTTTTACCTTTGCCACCAAGACACACTGTGTATAGTTTACAGATTTTAGGAAAAGGAAGGGCAAACCTCTAGAGAGGTTCCAGCCTAGCAGAGTGCTGCTGCCAAAATGAGAACTCACACGAGGCAGATGCAGATGTAGAGTGTCACTCCAGTCTTGAAGGAGTTACACTGGCTCTCCTGTTAAAAAAACAAAACAAAGCAACAAAACAAAACAAAACAAAACAAAAACAAAAACAAAAACAAAACAAAAACTGGTTTTAAAACTGTTGCGATGGGCTGGAACAGAGAGACACCATTTGGATATTGGTATTTACAGGAGTTACTGTCCTCCTATTTAGAAGCCTCTGACCATCACTAGAATTTGTCTAAATGGCCGTTAACAAAAGAAGGGTACTGAAAATCAGCCTAAATACTGTGCATTATTTACCTTTTCTGACACCCTGAGCCTGGAGTACCAAGTCTGATCCTGAAATGTTAAGTTAAAAGATAAACAGAAAAATAAATCTATTTTGTTTTAGTTTATTTTCTCTAGCACATTTCAGGTTTACATGATAGAAACTAAATGCAGCTGGTAAACTGTTTA